TCTTAGGCTGCACCAACTAATTATAACTATATTTATTTATTTAATATAATACTCGTACTCGTTTGGACACTAAAAAAACTTTCCACGTATCTATCTATCGTAGTAAAATTAAATGTCTTATCACAAGTAGACTATGAATATTTCATGAATTCATTCATAGTCTTCTTATGAATAATTTCTGTTTTATGGTAGTCACTCACTATTCGGTCACCTTTTATGCTAAGTACTTGTTTACCATTACAAAATAATCTGATCCAAATCTGCTGGCACGAGTAACTCGAAAGTTTAAAGTTAACCGGTTATCATAAACTTTTAAACTAGGTGGACTCATTCATTCCATCTCGGTTTCGTTTACATTTACATAATATTCTCAGGCATTTCTTACGGAATTATTTTAGAGTGGACCTGGTATAGACAATGTAATATTCTAAACAATAAGTAAGTCAATGTTAATTAGTATTTATGAGTATTACATAAATACGAGGCTTAGTTGCCGACAAACTACTAAGCAGTTTGGGAATAACTAAAAATAGATGGTAGAGTTCTAAACTTGGATGTAAAATTGTCAATTTGTAGTCTGTAACCTTTTTTTCTGTAAAACCCTGGTTTTTCCTGAATAAATAGTTCATAAAAATATGAGAGAGATAAGTTGCTGGAATATTTTTTCAAAAGGAGAGTCATAGTCACTACTAACTTGAAAAATAAAGTATGAATTATTTTCCTAGAATGTAGAGTCAGATACTTTCATTACATGGCAATGACTATTGCATGATTGCGTTAAACTCTATCTTTATCATCTTTGGTTCTTTCGTCAAAAGTCTAAATACCCAGCCTAACCTACAAACCCAGCTAGCCGTGACGATTCAACTGAATCATCTTAATTTTACAATGGTTCACCTTTGATGCGATTATTTTTTATTTAAAATTTATTTCTTGCCAGTAAAGCACAAGAAAGTATCGAAAGGAAAAACTAGAATGAAAACGGTTGTTGTAGAGAAAATTTTCATTTGTTTTTCTCTTCGATAAACCGGCTCTTGTTGGGTTCAAAATATTCCATCCCCACAACGATCCGAGCTATTTAAATATTTTTCGACGTTTAAAGTTTATTAGGTATGTTTAGACTAGGCGCAGACCACCGATTTTTAGTTGGCCGATAGTTGGGTCCGATTTTAATTTGTATGAAGAATCGAGCAAATCGAATCGGTGTAATGTGCCACTTGCATACATGCCCATACTGATCAACAGCCCGACTAAATTATCGGCCGACGAAAAATCGATGGTCTGCGCCTAGGCTTAAGATGATTAACTGCGTTGGAAATATTTCGAAGTGTTCAAAACTTTCCGAAAAAAAAAATGTAAAAAAGTATTTATTACTAAAAGATGTCACTACTGTTGACTTCAATCAAAGTCACTGTTCGCGGTTTATTATTGTGGGTTAGAGTTATTTTTTAGTTGTTTGCGAGTGAGTCTTGTGACAATGTCTGCCGCGCGAATTCTTCAGGGAAAACCGCAGGCTGTTACGTAATGTTCACTTTCCCCGGGCAGGGCGCGGGGTGCGGGGCGGGGCGTGGCGGCGTCCTCGAGCGCGACCGTGACCTTGCGAGGCCAACGACCCATGATCGCTCTACTTTTTTTTCTAAGTGACCATTGAAACCAGCCAGTGGCAAGAACTTTTTGGAACTAACCTTTAACTTTTTCTTTGCTGGTTAGATTTTCAAGCCCAAGAAATAAAAAAATATTTTTAAATTACTTTTAGCTAGTGATATCTAAACTATTTTGTATACGTCTAGGATCGCAATAACAGCAGCTGACATGTTATCACTAGGAAGGATGACGTGTAGAATGGTTTTATAACTTATTGCTGTGTATCACTGTATAAATTAATTTCCATAAAACATAAATCACAAAGTAATCATAACTTACCTAATGTAAATACTACGAGCATGTCGTCATTGAATTACTTTGTTCGTTATTGAAGATGGGATCCATATTGTCCGTAAATGCAGAAATAAACCAGATTATACTTTAAATAATTAATATTCGCGTTTTTTTTATATTGCCTTTGAATACATGAATAATATCAACGTTATTATAACAGCATCCGCCAGGCGACACATACAGCATGATTTTAACATTGGTTAAAATCTGATCTTTTACGACGTAATATCAAATGATGAAACATTGTTTTCATGATTTTTTCTTATATTTATCTTGTAATAGGACTGACGTCTTATTAATTTCAAATACATTGTATAAGCTTCAACCAAACCGAAGCGTGCAGAATGCAGATCGCCATCGCCGGCGCGATCATAAGCCGATGACATTTAATTTTTTTCATTAAGTTACATGGTAGTGAGAAAGGGACATCTAGTCCATTATTTTTGAAAACTGTAGGAAATTCGCGTTTTGGAAGAATACATGTCAATGAAGAATGTTCACTAATTTTGTTTTTTAGCTTTCTGTATTCTCTGTTAAAAATAAAAAATACACGTGAAAGAATTATTTCGATACGTTAATTAGTTTCCAAGATATTGAATTTTAAAAGTGCGGGCGGCGGCCGGCCCGCCATTTTATGCGCGTGACGTCATATTACAACGACTGGCTCATATTTGTATGGGTGGAATCTTGCAAACTGAATTAAGACCCACTTCCAGGCAACCGATTAAGCTGAAATTTCGCAAACACATGTGATTTGGATGACCATGCAATATTATGATGACATGGAGCTGATCTGATGATGGAGCTGGAAGGTGGCCATAGGAACTCTATAATAAAACGACTTAAATGCATCGAGTTTGGGCTCGTTCGTTTTGTATTGATGAGTATTTTAATTCTATATAGTAATCGGGGTCTAATGATGGAGCTGGAAGGTAATTCGCAATAAAACGACACAATCGCATCAAGTTTGGGTTTGGTTCAATTTTAATTTCTGTGATGGGTCTGGGTGTTAATATGTATAATAAGTTTGTATTTACAAAAAAAAAATATTTAAGTATGTTTATATCCGTTTTCTAGTGAGCGGACGCTGTGAATGTACGTCACACGGGGTCACGTGACCGTCGGCGGGACTCAATATTTAAGCGAACTTTGAATGCCTATAAAATCATAACTACTGGGTATTTTTGAATGAAATAAAAACTAATGTATTTGTAAATGTAAAAGCTTAACTGTAACATAGGTTTCAAGTGATTTTGCATACCTAGTAACATTCTCAATTCAATGGTAGAGTCAAGTTAAAGACTGTCAAATTATTGAATTAACTTTATTGAGCAGCCTGTATTTATTTTGTTAGTGTATCTGTGATGTTATGTTAAAAAGCCAGTTTCTATAAAATCTCTGAGGCCACAGGTTATTGACTAGCTAAATGAAGGTTCAAGGTTGAACCGGTATTGTCTGTTAATCATTAATCTGTTAATTTTATATCATTCCTTATCTGTCAGGTATAAATAAGACTTTTTTTTTAATTTGTTAACACCGTTTCTATTATAATCGTGTAGAGGGAATAGTACCTACTACCTACATATTTTGCTTTTTTATTTAATTAAGTTTATGAAAAGCTTTGACTCGTACTTATGACGATAACACATATTTATTAAATACAATCTATAATAAATAGAATATTTTTTTACATGTAGGTATAGTATAGTTTTCACAAAATGACGATATTTAAAAATAATAAGTATGATATTTCAAATCAATTGTGGTAGGTTGATATGCTATCGACTGTACATTTTTGTATGCACCGATTATTACATTTTTTCTCACATTTTGGACAGAAACGAGTTTTGACGCTCTTTAAAACAAATAATAGTTGAAATGTAAGCTTTTTTATTTATAATCATTAATGTTTTGCTTTACATCGTACTAGATTGTTCTTATATTAATAAATCAAAACCAGTTTTAAAATAGATGCTCATTTAAAGTTTTATACAGATCAATAAATTGTACTAACGTGTCTATCAATTTGTTTTACGAAAATCTTTATGATTCGATACCTGCGACATATTTAATTACCGTAGAGATCAATTAAGACAGTCTATATGTAGTTGAATTTAAAGCTAATTAATTGTATTAATCGTAAAATGCAAATTTTAATTGCAATTATTTCCAATTAATATAATCAGCAGCTTTTAAAGTTTCTTTTAAAACGTTACACCTGAAACTACCCTAAAAGCGTCTTAAATAATATCATTCCCAGTAAGTCTATTAAAGGTATGTAGGTATCGAGGTAAAAAGTTAGAAACAAGTAAGTAGTTACCCACGAAGTTAAGTAAAGAAATGTGTCTACATTGTAGAGATAGACCGCAAACTGCTACGAACGCTACGAAAGTTCCACGAGTAGGTAGTTATAATCGCTATTCGCTCAAATAGACCATTTAAAAAATATTTGTTACTTGTTTTTAAATAGGGTGATAACAAATAAAAATTGTTCGTTTTTGATTTCATTTCAAAATCTAGGAGCAGAGCATTCGTAGTACAGACGAAACCACATGAATGTAAACTAAATACTGTTGCATACATTTTTGGACGTTACACTTTTTTAAAATAAGTTATACATAAGCTGCAGCTTGTGATGGACTGAAGGTTTAAGGTTCAGTTCCACCATGTACTTACTTAGCGGTAACAAAAACAAACTTCACAAGTATGTCAAACTCCATACAAAAAGCACCGGTTATCGTTGTAGTTACGATTAAAGTTAGGTAGTGCAAGCCTAGTCGGCCGTTTGGTGTAGTGGTTCGAAACGGACTACCATTCCGGAGGTAGTGGGTTCGATTCCCGCACAGTACAAACATTTGTGTGCATGAACATATTTATTTGTATTGGACTGGGTGTTTTCTATGTATAATAAGTATGTATTTACAAAAAAAAAGTATTTAAGTATGTTTATATCCGTTGTCTAGTACCCATAGTACAATCTTTGCTTAGTTTGGGACTAGAAGCGCAGTGTAAAATGTCTAAGGATATTTATTAAGACATTTGAAACTATAGTAAGTACTTACTGTTAGCGCATTTCTGGGGCACGGGCAGCGAGAGGAACCGGCCAGGCTTCTGCGCAGCCGCGAGCGTCGCTAGCACCGCTGCGCACGCTACCACCAGCCACGTGTGCATCTGGAATAAAAGAAAAATAAATGATTCCAAATTCAAAACGCCATTGGCAATCGACACAGAAAGCAGCGTCTTTTTAAATGTAATGATTCCAAATTCAAAATGTCATTGGCAACCGAAAAAGAAACAAGTTTTTTTTTCATCATATTTGCGGCAGTTGCTTTGATACAATAACAATTGGCTTGTTTTTCTACGAATTGAAAAACTTAATTACTAAAACAAATGAATGCTACTTGATGACGATGCCATTAGCTCTATGATATTTAAAAAATAACTATAATTATTTACTAATTTATTCGATTGGTTTTAGTGTAGATCCGAACTAGAAGCGATCTGCAACCATCTGTTTATTCAATGAAAATTATTTGAAATCAATTTTAGCATGTTAAAGAATATGTATGTCGCGAGTGGATTAACTAAAAATATCTGACCAAATAGTGAATGCGATATCAAACTTTAGGTGATGGAATGGACAAAAATCATCAAGTGGGAAAAGTTTAACCAGGTTCAGGTAATATTATGCCTTACCATTACGACTTAATTTAGATTTTATCTTGCTACAAATGATACTCTATTCTAGGTATGTAGGTACATTTATACTTTGCCTTTGGATCATAGTTGCAACATGTTATCTGCGCTAGACAGGACGTGGCCGTGCATTGCAGAAATAAGTGTGATTCTACAACTTTAATTAATTTAAATATTTTACATAGTTATCCTCCTTACTACCTGTTGTTTTGCTACTCAAAGTTGCCCTTAATGTCTTAGATAGGAGTATAATCATTTGAAGTTATTTTTAAGACTACAACATAGAGTTTAAGTTTCAGTTTTAGTTGTTTTGTAAAACAAATCGAATTTTCAACAGGTATTTACTTTTCTATTCTGTTCTGCTATTTTATTGGGCTTTTAATAAACACTAAGATAAAGTTTCAAATTAGTACCACGACTCGAGTATTTGTACCTAATCTCTTTGCGCGTTAGCAAAATAATGCCAAAGAGTGGCTAATTTATTTGAGAAACCTAAAGCATGATGAAACACCATGTTCGCCTCACGACTGAGTAAAGGCTCGAATTTAAACTTCAATCCTTCATTGTTCTCTCAAATAATACACCTGTTTTTAACTTATTAATAGAATCCTAAAACATCATCAATAGAGCAAGATATTTTTGTTTCAGGTTTTGATGTCAGTCTCCTAAAGAGACAGGTTGCTTGTTATGTGATGTTTTGAATGTCAGATTCGTAGTTATTGCGATGACGAACATGATTGAGGATGTTTACAAATCAATGAATGGCATTATGTAACGGTATGATTTAGGAGGGAATTTATTATGTTACATCTACGAATTATTACAAATTTTACCAAAAAAGGCTGCTACAGTATGCAACACCTCTTAAAATTCCGTCGCCCACGCGTGCGTCTGGGTGAACCAGACACGCCAAAGTTAAGCAATAATTCCTTTTCTGTAATAACAACATACGATTTAATGGAGCATATAAATGCATTTCCTGTATACCTTTGCTTCGTGTATGTAAATTGACATAGAAAATACACGGCTTTACAAACCTTGAGTGATGTCACTGACAAGTGGCGGCAAACAAAAGCTTCGATTGTTTTCGAGATGTCCGTCGCGGCGTGCTAGGCCGGTGACACATTGGTCAACTGTATCGTTACGTAAAAACGAGTGTTGCCGACCGGCCGTGCCCCGGGCGACCAATGAAAGAAATGCACGACCTAATAACCGTAAAACTGTGTCACATGATCATGACACTACCCGCAGTAATGTAGGTATACACCGCTCGAATTACTTTCTTAATTTACCCAACCTTGGCTAATCTCATTTGGTATGGATCAATAAACATTTGCAGCAGTAAAAAACGTGCGATTCACTCTCGCATCCGCGATCTCAGATGAGGTAAAAACTTGATATGAATAATGTCGTAGAATAGTACCCGGAAACGTTCGGTCGCCGCGCGGAGCTAGGATCACGCAGCGCGGCATATGATACGGCTTAACCTTGACACGCATGTGTACATCTCTTAACTGATCGTATGACCGTAAGCGGATAATTGCGATCCCACATCATCAATAAAGAATAAGGTGACGCGTCATCACGATCGGTTTATGGCGAGATGCATCGTGCAGGCTCAGGGTTGACGCTAATTAACTTCCTCGGCCGAATATGGCAATTAGCGACTAGCTCACGTGTTTCCTTTTTATTAAGTTTACGTTTCAGGTGCTTCGGACTTAAAAGCTTCGCGTAGTCAAGTTCACACAAGATCGGTCACACAAGGTAACACATAGTAGGTATGTCCACTGGATTCCGAGCTTATTTACCCGATTATTACGAATGTAATTATGCACATAGCATCTAAGCTAACAATAATCAACAAGCAATGCAAAGCTGCTGGATTAGATTCCTCCTCAATTACTTGCGTGATAGAATCATAAAATTCTCTATTGCCTCATAAGTGCGCGATAAATTGATTGGAATTCTCACTGAACACGCATTAAGTATGTAGTTATCTTATAGATAATAGTTTATATTATAAAAATGTGTAATTTATTGCACGTCAAGGATGAGGTATCCGGTGGTGGACACGCAAATACGACTGGGGTCTGTTTGAAACATGTGGATAGCCTTCTAGAGACGTTTGGCAGGTCGGAGGCCGGTGCCGGTGGTACAACAATGGCGGACTAGTTGAATGGTATTCTTCGCGATTGGGACACTCGCGAATTTAGTGCGAGGCATAATGTGTCGGGTTGTGCAACCGGCCTCGCCGGCCGCTCCGGTCACGATCCTGCGGTCGTGCATCGCCCTGCACTCCTGCGCCTTGCCAAACACCACCGCCGGCGCTAGGGCTGCTCCGCCGGTGACAGTGTAGAGTCACCTCACAAAAAGTCCGAAACAAACATATCACAAACGATACCCACATCCTTATCAAACGCCATGTTTGTGAAATTCGAATACGAATGTGAAAAGCTCTTCACTTATGTGATGTGTCGATAATATTAAAATAATTGCTTTTGAATTAAGTAAACTTAAATACCTCATATCTGTGTCAAAATACAACCAAAGTATAATCTATTGCAAATCTGATAGACAGGTTGCAGTCACTCGAACAATGGGCTGGCAACCCTCACTACGACACTTGACACGTGAACCAAACCGCTTATTTTGCGTGTCACTAGAGATGTGGCAACCTATGAAGTCATAGATAAAGATAAAAATAAAGATACCGTTAAAACACTACTAGATTCTTATCGCTTACTAATAAGATCTCAATGTCTCAGTTTAAGAAATCCGATAACAAAAATTTAAATAAATTGAGGTCTCGTTTTTTTATTTTAGTGAAGATTATCACGACCAAATTAGGTTTTTATACCGCATCCGTTTCCAAGCTACTTATTGGTATAAGATTTTTTAAAGCAGGTCCTCAGTCTCGAGGTCGAAGTAGAGGTTTCGTTTGTCACGCGCATCAAAATTGTTTTATAATCGTTATAACATTGAACTTGCTACGACCCTGCGCCGGATTCGAATTAGCGTCTTCTTCAAATGCCCAAGGACAACAAACAGTTTGGATAACATACGTTCAATGGAAATCCGTGTTTATTTATGAGCTTACTTACATAAGTATTTCTTAATCGTATGTACAGTATACGCACGTATATGAAATAATATTGACATGAAGTAACCAAACTTTGAATAGGTACGAAGCCCGTACGCGAAGTTCGATCTTTGACTGAGAATCTACTTTTATTCGGAACCACTGAGAACTGTGGTCATGATTACTAATGTTTAGGTTTAAAATTTTCCTTATGATACCATTATGACTACAACTTTAAAAGCATCCTGGTTGTAAAGGTCTGAAGTGAATTGGGATTCGGCGACCCGTCACTTAAATAGTTCCTAATGGCTTCAATGATCATGAAGTCGCGTCATTAAGAACAACATAATCATAATCATGAAATAAAAATACTTAGAATTCAGTGTTCCATTATTAAAACGATAATAAGTATGCATATTTTATAGCTGAAGCTAAGCCTACTCAGGATGGTCTATTCCACTTTGATCACCCAGGTCATCTTATCCATGGATCAAAGGACACCAAATTGTCGCTTGGAGTCCACTTTGACCACCTGGGTGATCAAAGCCAGGTGATCAAAATAGAATAGACCCTAAGGATGATATCATTAATCGCCAATAAACATTAACTCTAGTCTCCTAAGGTGCCAAAGTTTAGCTGGTTAACACATACGTTTAGACATTACGTCGTATCAAAATGCCACGAAAAGCTTATTTTTAGTGCCAGTACGTTGAGCTGCAACTTTTTCCTTCGTTTCATACCATAAGCTCTATAGGGCTTAAGTCTGAGTTGTTTTCAGGCCAATCTAGTACCGTCACTGACTGTTGCGCTAGGAACGATTAAACAGAGAACGCGGTATGTTTTGGGTCGTTATCGTGTTGAAATGTTCATGAGACTGGTAAGACTTCTTCAGCATACGATAGCATCGTTTTCTCCAATATTTATTTGAATTGGAATTGCTCAAGTTTAACTTCAGTTCTTTTTATAGATTACACTCTATGTCCAGAAAAACAGCCCCAGATTTTAATATTGCCGCCACTATGTTTCACCTGCTTCTTCGTTTACTTTGGTATCATTTCGGACTTTACAGGTCGTCGCACGTATTGTCTGTCATCGGATGAAATAGGATTTATCTTGGTCTCATCAGAAACAGCACTTTTATCCATTGAGCAAAAGCCTAATGTCCATACTTTCTTGCAAACGCCAATCTTGCTTCTTTGTGTTCCATCTTCAGTAGTGGAACTTTTCGAGGAACTCGTCCTACAAGCTTTGCCTCCACCAGTCGCCTTCTGACGGTCCTCGCAGATACTCCAGCAGTCGGTTCTGGTCCAAAAATCTCGCTCTTGATCAGAACGGAACCCTTAAAGGGGTCTCTCTTTGCGAGAGTGACCATTCTGCGATCATCTTGTGGGGTTGT